CACGTGCTGCCCCAGTCTCTCCCTCCCCCATCCCTCCCGGTACCCTGCCTGCGGCTGTCTCTGCCCAGGCTGTGCTGGTGGGGTGTCCTGGGGATGGGTTGTGCTGGGAGGTGTTGTGCCACCACAGTGATGGGCTGGGAATGGAGTGTTTCCAGAGACTGGAAAAATGCTCCAGCCCTGGGGAAGGGTTCAGTGGGAGCATCTTGCAGTGAGACCCTATCTGCCCCTGGAAGGACCACAGAGGTGAGAGGGATGATGTGCGGGAACTCCAGGCTTGGTAGGTTCCCAAACTCAGCTGGATGAGGCCTCGAGAAACTTGTCCTCCATTTGGAGCTGGCCCTTCTCTGAGCAAGGACTTGGACAGGACTGCTGGTTGTCTGCATCCCCTCACCCTGTCTCTTTGGCACTGTCCCCCCTTGGACCCCGCCATAGCCTTGGTGGCACGGCCAGAGCTGCTGTCTGGCAGCAGCAGTGGAGCATCTCCCGTGGGTGTGCTGTGCTCCACGGGCGATCGATGCTGCAGCCAGAGTTGTTTACCAGCTGGTTAATTGCTGACGGGCCATGTCACCCCATCGCTGCCCTGTGCTGCCATGCCTGTCCCCAGACCCAAACATCTCCTGGCAGAGCTGCCCAAGCACTGTTCCTGGGGGGCTCCAGCCCCCTGCCAAGAGCCTGTATCAGCCAAGCTCTCAGGAGGGGGCAGGCAAAGAGAAATGCTATCGATTTTGGCTCCTGAAGTGCAACATCAATAATTCAGCGTGGAGCAATTGGTCCAGGCTGGGAGGAGGGGTGAGCAGGAGGTAAAAGGTGGGAGAGTCACCCGCGTAGCCCAGCCTCAGATGAATATTAGATGAAACTGCAGACTGCTATCGGTAGGATAACTGGTGCCTGCCCGGAGCTAGCAGGGCTGTCCCTGCCTCGGCCGGGTCAGGGTCTGCTACATGTGGGGCAGGCAGGATTGGGGGTGTCTTGGAGAGCCCCTTACACGGGGTGAGCTGGCCCCTCCCTTCCCTGGGGGGCTGCTGCTGTTGCCCCAGAGCTGAGAATGCAGAAGGGGAAGCAGGGCTGGGGAGGGTGCCAAACCCCTCCAGAGTCTGGGGAGAAACAGGAGAGAGCAGCAGCCTGCCTGGGCACCATTGACACCCCAAAGGATGCCAGGCAGAGGAGGGTGGTGGCAGTGAGCAGCATGGCCACCTCCTGGTGCCTGGCTAAGGGCAAGGGTCCCTCCAGAGAGGGGAGAAAATGAGTACCCCCATGGCGCTGGCGAGAGCAAAGCTCTGTGCCAAGCCCTGATTTCCTCTGGCTTTCCAGGAACCCTTTGGCAGGAGCATGGCATCTTGGCTGCAGAAGGACCAGCCCTTCGGGGTGCGGTGCCAGGGGTCCCTGGGCTCAGGGCATTGTCCAGCCTGGTGGGTTTGACAGACCCAGGAGGTCAAGGTGAGCTGGCTGTTGATGAGTCAGGTCTTGGAGCATTGAAATCCAGCCTGGAACAGCTGCAGGTGCCCCAGGTTGAAGTTTGGGGTGCACCAGAGATTTCCCCGTATGCAGTGGGTTTAACCCTTGCCTTCTCTTTTCCAGGGGCTGGCAAGTTTTTCAGCTGGCTGTAGGGCCTGGTGGCTGAATCAGGAGAGGGCTGCTCGGTCATGGTGAGGGCTTGCAAAGTGAGAGGGGAAGGGGCAGAGATGTATGGTAGCCGTGGCTGGGTCCTGAGTTTGGATCCCAGCGTAGCCTTACACTCTGAGGCATGCTGTAGCTGGGCTGCATCCTGCCAGCACTGGAGTCCTGGAGAAGAAAGTCTCTTGGGGACCCTACACTCTACACTGGAGCATCTTCTGCATGCTCTGCACCCAGGAACATCAGCCCTGGTCATCGCTGTGGACACAGGGTGGGCTGCACTGTCTCACCCTGCCTGGATAGGGTGAAGCTGGGGGAGAAGGGGGCTTGGTCCTGGATCCCCTTGGCTGTGATCCCTGCAGCTGGGGCCAGGGCAGGGCAGCTCTCCCAGCACCGAGCTCCCCAAAGACCGCAGCACCCACGGCACGCACCCCGCTGACTCTGCCACTGCGTGGTGTCACGTCCCGCTCAGCCCAGCCAGACGTAATTAGCTTGTTGAATCTCTTCTCCCTCCGGCCTCGCGTTAATCACTTTTCACATTGCTTCCCTCCCAATTCCCTCTGGTCTGGCTTGCTTTTTCTGTTGCTGATGTGCCTGGAGAGGGGAGCAAAGGGACTCAGCTGGACACAGAGCAGGGACCCCACTCTGCTGCATCCTGCCCCAGAGATGGGCTCTGAGCCAGTGGATGGAGAGGCAGGGAGATCGCTCATCCACAGGGAGGTGAGAAAATTGCAGGCTGGAGGAAAAAGCAATAAAGCCAGAGAGCAAGGGAGCCTGTTGGGACAGCCCTTCTTTGCAGCCCTGCTCTGCTGGTGGAGGATGGTGAAACCTTGGAGTCCAATGGGAGAGGTTGGCTTGAGGCTGGCCTGAGGCTCTCTAGCACAGGGTTGTGTTGGGCTGCAGGGTGCTGTGAGAGCTCAGTGGGGTCTCCTTCACCTCTCCCTTTGAGGGGCAGATTTAGACCCCGGGACTGGGCACAGGTGGGAATAGAGGTGCTCTGGCCAGGGCTCTCTGGGGTTGTGGTCCCTGGAGCAGGAGGTCCCACGCATAGTCCGTGCTTGGCTACAGCATCCCCTCCCAGGGACGCAGGGAAATGTCTCATTCCCCGTGGGTGCCTGCCCTGGGGCTTGCTGTGCCGCTGAAGCAGGGGATGGCCAGATCAGAAGCAGCTTTTAGGTGAGAAATGTGTAGAAAACCGGCTCAAAGAGAATTTCTGATAACCTCTACTGCCAGGCTGGGGTCTCTGCCCTGCTACCCACAAGGCAGGGCTTTGAGTGTGCTGCGGAGACCCCCAACCCTGGCTGGGCCCCCCACTGCGCTGCCCTCCCCTCCAAGCAGCACCCTGGGGGACAGCTTTCCCTCCAGCAGCAAGTGAGGTACCCAGGGCTGGCAGCCCCCAACTGTGGCTCCTCCATGTGCTGTGGATCTTGCACGTGGCTGTGACTTACTTGCTGGTGTGGAGAGGTGCTGATGTTCCCCCAGGAGGTGAAGAGGGAAGAGGTGAGGGTGGCAGGAGTCTGTGGAGGTGATCGGTGGATGAGGCTGAGCTCTGAGGCAGGGAGCTCTTCATGCCGTGCCGTGGGTGCACGCAAGGTGAGGGCAATGCTGGGAGGCAGGTTTGGTGGTTTGGTTTGGGATGGGGCAGAGGGGCTCTTGTGGGCAGGGCTGGTCCCTGGGCTGGGTGGCAGCAGTGTCCTGGGGGACAGTGAGTGATGAGCTCGAGGGTCCCTGTGCATGGCTTGGCTCTGGGGTTGGTGCCGCCACACACTGCTGTTCGGGTGGGAGTTGGGGGCAGCCAAGCCTCCTCCATGCACCCATTGGTGCCAGCTCTGCACCCCTCCACAGTTTTCAGTGATGTAGGGTGCCTGTGCCAGGCTGTGTAGGTGCAGGGGTGCCCTGGGGTGCATGCTGACCCCTACGTCCTTCAGCAGTTGCGTGGGCTCCATCCTCCCCTGCAGTCTAGGTGCCCCGAGGGACCCCAGAGGGTGCCTGGGCGGGAAGAGGGAGGGCCAAGGCAGATCTCTCCTCCTCTGCCCTCCCCTCTCCTCCCTTGCTGGGTCTGTTGCTGCCAGACCAGCTGCCTGCTGGGGCTGCGTGTCGGGGGGATGTCGGTTCCTGGGGCAACCTGGGACCCGCAGGGGCTGCAAACGGTGGGCATCATCCTGCTGCTCTGCTCCAGCCTCAAGCTACTCCATGCCCTGGGCATCATCGACCTGGCCAGGGGAGGTGGGACGGGGACGGGGATGGGAATGGGGTTGCAATGCGATGGGGATGTTGTGATGGAGGTGCTCCTCATCTCCTGTCCCAGGGGTTGCAGGGTACTTGGGGGAGGTTTGGAAGGATTAGTGTGTTTTGGGGCATTTGGGGGAGCATTAGGGTGTGGAGGGTGTCTAGGGTGTCTGGTGGCATTAGGGTATAGGGAGCTGGGGAAGTGAGGGTGTCTGGGGATGTTTGAGAGTGTTGGGGTGCTTGGGGGGGCACTGGGGTGCGGTGGTATCAGGGATGTGGGGGTTGGAATATCTGCAGACATTGGGATGTGTGGGGTGTTGGGGTGCAGGATGCTAGAAAGTTTGGGTGTCTGGGAGCATTAGGATGGGGGATATCTGGGTCTGGAGGCATTGAGGTGAAGCAATGTGGGGGGGACTGGGACTATCTGGGATGTTGGAGTCTGGGGGCAGAGGGCTGGGCGTTGTCAGATGATGGGGAAAAGGGCTGCAGGTCACTGGGGCTGGGGAGATGAGTGGGAGCCGAGGGCAAAGAGCGATGAATGTGGGGAATGGCACCATGCAGGGGAACGCTTACCCCACTGCTGCAGGAATTGGTGGCTATGGGAGGAGTGTGGCTAAAATAAGCGGGAGCCCCTGGCCCCTTTGCCCTCCCTGTGGGGCTGTGCCAGGGTTGGGGAGGGAAGGGGCTGCTGTGGGTGCTGAGCAACCTGGATTGGCAGGTGGGTGCTGAGGACAGGGCTGGATGTGGCCAGACAAGAGGATGCAAAACATGTCAGAGCGAGGGATGCACAACCTGTTGGTTGTGCCTAGTGAGGGTGGGAGTGCAGAGAGCTGCTGCTTTGTCTCCTTTGGCTGCCTTCCTGGGCTGTGTCACGGACAGCCCTGGCTCAGACAAGGGCTGCCAACAGATTTTGCATCAGTGCGGTCTGGGGTTTGTTTGCCCCCATCCCCTCTGCCTCCTGGCTGGCGCTGGGGATGCTGCAGGATGAAGGGGCTGCAGATCACATCCCCTCGGGCAGCCAGATCTCGGGATGGGAGCTGTGATGGGAGGATGTGCGGTTAGGAGTGATCAGAGGAGCAATTAGTGGCTGAGCAGAGGGAGGGGAGGAAGGCGCTGTGCCCAGGGGGTGCTTTCAACCCCCTTGTGATGGAGGTTGTCCCTGAGCTGCCTGGGATCTGGCTGGGTTATGGCTGAGACATGCCCAGGCTTCATCCCTGTGCCTTACTGGGGAGGGTATGGATGCCATCTGGGTCTCTTACGGGATGTGCTGCCTGCAGCCAAGAGGAGCTGCTGCTCTGCTGGGGCATTTTTTTGGGTAGCTCCTCTGGCACTTTGGATGCACCGGTTCCTGCTGCCAGAGATGTCCCTGCCATGGCAGTGGTGATGGGGACAGGGCAGGATGTGTCCCTGCGTGTGGGTTTTGTGTCAGGGCAATGCAGACAGTCCGAGTCCCACAGCTTTACCTGCTCGCAACATCTCATACATGGTGTAGCTTGAGAAATTATTATTCTGCCAACACCTCCTTTGGGCACAGCCAGGCTGTCTGGGAGCACTGTCACAGGCTGGGGATGGGAATGCGGACAGCACTGCTGTGAGCCCTGCTCTCTGTGGCCCCTTCTGGCCCATGCCCCCATCTCCCTTCGGGGCCTGCTCGGCACAAGGGTCGTACAACTGCTCTCCTCTCTCTGGCACTGGAGAACATCCTGGAACTGAGTCTTTGCTGTCCCACGAACTGCAGGTATCGCTCGGCAGCTTTGGTGCTCCCAGCTCCTCCAGCCCTCCTGGCTCTGGGTGTCCGGGCTGAGGCTGCCTCTGTCCCACCCCCAGGACAGGGACTCTCCGTCGGTCCCCCTGCCTGGGGAGATGCCAGCTCTGATTTCATTCCCCTAATGGATGACCGTCTGGCCCCAGCGGCTGCTGCAGGCACCTTGGCCCCAGTTACACTCAGCTCTGTCACCGCTGACTGATGAGGGTCATTTGCAGAGCTGCTGCTGGCGGGACCCATCCTGACCCACCCCGGGGTGGCTGGGGGAGCTCACTGTCTCTTCCTTCTGCCGGTCTTCATTGCAGACCCTGGAGAGCTGTGGTCCCCCTGACTCGGAGGTGGCACTGCCCAAGGCTGGGTGCTGCGGAGGGGGAGCAGAGCTGGGGGCTGGTGATCCCTGCTTGGAGCTGAGCTCTGCACAGGGATGATCGTGAACCACTGGTTGTAGGGGCAACTGGGCTCACCGTCGCTGCCTGGATGGACCCAGAGCCATGGCCTGGCAGGGGGAGTTTGGGGACATGCCTCTGGCCTCCCAGAAAAGGGGATGCTCTGGAAGGGGATGGAGACTCTTCTACTGAAAAGACCATGTTCTGGGAACTGCTGACCCTTTTCCCCATGCTCCCCTGCGCCTGCCCTGCCCCTTCTTCTGGCTCATCACCCTACCCTGGCTGGGGTTCACCCTCCTACTTCCCAGCCAGGCTATCCTATCCCCAGCACGGTCCCCTTTCCTGGCTGCCTTCCGCTGCCCAAACCATGCTCCTAGGGCGGGGTGCTGGGGCGGATTGTCCCTGGGGTACCAGCTCCTCCTGACCTGATTGACCCGGCATTGCCCCACGGGGCCAAGCAGGGGCTGTGGGAGCTGCATGACCCATCTGCTCCCATCCTGGAATGGAGCCATGCCTGGGCACTGAGCTGGGGACACTGGTGGGGTCTCACTGGTGTGGGATGCACATCTTCCATGCGTCGTGATAACGTGCTTATTGATGGGTTACTGAGAATGAGGGGGGAGTTTTGGCACTGCCTGTCGGTTCGTTATTGTAGGGCCTTTTCTAGCAGGAGGGTGCTGTGGAAGGGGTGGGTTGATCTCCGTAGCCAGCTGTTACTGGGAGGGCACTGGTGGCTCTGGCTCTGTGGGGAGGGCAGGGACATGGTTATGCATCGGGCTGACCCTGGCTCCTGCTTTCTCTCTGGGGAGACCATGGAGAAGCTTGGGCTTGGGTCCTCCCTGGGAAGGGGGCTTGTCAGCCTCGCACCATGTAACCCCCTGACATGGCGGCACTGGCTGGATCCAACCCTCAAAGACGCATCTGCTGCTGATGTGTCAATACAAAGTGGTCCATAACCGTCGCGGTGACGGTCACTGCTGAGGCCGGGGATCCACCTGCTGTAAGTCCCTTCAGAGCCAATGTCCAATAACCTCTGGGACTCATTTCAACAGCGTGTAGAGGTGGGGATGGGAAATCCCTTCCCCTTTTGGTGCTGCCCAAGGATGGAGCATCAGTTTGTGCGTGCGTTTCAAAGTCACTGCACTGTGAAGCGATGCACGGGAAGCGACAAGCCACTTAACCTGGCAGACCTCCCGCCGCAGATAAAACGCTGCCAGCCCTTTCTGTTGACTTGTTTTATGCCAGCTCTTGCAGAGGGGTGGAGGGCAGAGCGATATCTGGAAAAGGAGCTGTCACTGGCAGGGAAGGGCTTTGTACTGCGGACATCCCGTGTGCCTAGCGGGGCAGCACATGGCCTGGCTCTGCTCCCCATCTTTGGGCAGAGCTGTTTCCCAGTGAGGGGGAGCCCAGGGAGCCCCCAGACTTGCTCACAGTGTGGATCCTGGGGGAAAGAAAGGGGACAGCGTGTCCTCCTCAGCAGAGCCCTCGGGCACATGAAAGCCAGGACAGCAAAAACCCAGCCCTGGTCACCCCTCTCCTGTTGTTAAGCTGCATGTGCTGAACGTGCTCCCTCCCCTGCCCTGGGGCCCCTGGAATCGGGCCCTCTTCAGTTTCCTCCTTAAGAAAACGCCCATGTTCTTTATTTTTTTTCTTTTTTCCTTCTTTATAACAAACTAAAGTGTAACTTGCACCCGACCTGACCTACTGCACGTGCCTATACCTGCTGCCCCTGTGAGTCCAACCACAGTTTACTCTCTGTTGCATCTCTCTCGCTGTGTGGTTTCCCTCCCGCCCTGCTCCCTCTCCTGGTCCATCACCCTGGCACTGGGTGTTGCTCTGCCTGCCCCATCTCTTCAGCTTGGCTCTGCCAGAGGGACCTGGCCCCAGGGCATCCTTGGAAGGCTGAAAGGTGCAATTTCCCTTTCCCTCTGCAAATTAAAGCCCTGGAAAATTAGATGGGCTGCTTTGTGCACAACTGATGCCCGCTTCTAGGGAGGAAAAAGCCTTTTTCATGCCTGCCCACAAACCCCAGAGCAGATAGAAGCCAGGCTGTGCTGTCCTGCCAGCACCAAGATCCTGGCCATCACGCTTGCCTCTGTTGCCCTGTGACAAATGCCAGGGGTGCATCCATGCATCCCTACTGGCACCATGCTGTGGATACCACTTCCTTGGGGACAAGTTTGCCCTCTCTGAGTGACCTTGTGTGATGTCCTGCTGGGACAATGACCTCCTGTTCTACACTGACCCAGAGTGATGGAGGTGCCTGCCCCAGCCTGCTGCCTCCATATGAGCTCAAAAGTTCCCAGGTCCTGCCTGTGGGCACTTGGGAACCAAGCTGGATGCAGACCTGTGTCCCTATCCTGTAGCTGGGTACCATGCAGCACCATTTCCCCAGCATCCCCAGCACCTTGGGCTTGGCTCATCTCAGCCCCACAAGGCTCAGAAAGCTGTCGGAGGAAATCCCATCTGCTAGCCCCATAGAGAAACCACCCAAAACCAGAGCTTGGGACACGTAGGCGTTGTGACCTGCTGCTTGCAAACAGCCAGGGTGCTTGGAGCAAATGCAGTGTCAGCAGAGCCCCAAAGGGACTTTGCACCTTTCATCCCATAGGTGCCCTGTGCCGCTGTCTGCCTCCCTTTGGGGGCTGGAGCCCCGCATGGCCTTCATCCCCTCCTCTTTCTTCCCTCCCTGCCTGTGGCGTTAGTCCTGCACTGAGTTTGCTGGCTTGAAGCACTGCGGGAAGGGAGGGAGCGGGTCTGTGGCCGTGGGGCAGCGCCAGCTGGGAGAGATGGGGATGAGCAAAGCCACCAGAGTCCAGATGGGGTAATAGGGGGTGGCAGGGGGGGTCTGTGCAGCGAGGGGATCTCCTATTAATGCAGGGCCACTTGGAAGCGATGGCTGTGGGCCAGGCTGATGTGGGGAGCCCCTCACCCTGCCTCATAGCCTGACCAATGCAAAGTCCTGAGCCCCATCCCCATCTGGCTGTCTCAAAGCAGGGCCCCAGGCTCAGATTGCAGTGCCGTGCTGGGGCGGGCGTGCATGCCGCAGTCCGGGCTGCATGGCTGGGGTCGGTGCATGTTTTGCATTCAGCCGTCGGGTGCCAGCAGGATCAAACCCGGTCCCAAGCTCTGGGGAGGATGAAACGCCCCAGCTCAGCCGCAGGCTGTTTCTTAGGGTCCATCCTGCCCTGCCTCCCTGCACAGCCTCGTAGGAAAGGGAGGGTCCCCAGGGAGTGGGTATTTGGCCTCAAGGCTAAAGGGCAGGGTCCAGCCCTGGCATCTCCTGGGTCTCTGGGCTGCTGGGTGCCTCCAGTGCACTCCAGCATGCTCTGACGGGGAGGGGTGCAGAGGTGCTGGGTGTGGGTAGCCCAGCAGGGTTGCCCCTTTGCCATCCCCATCCTTCCCAAGGAGGGAAAATGCAGTGCCGGGTTTGTCCTGGGATGAAGCCAAAAGGCCGAGCAGAGCCTGGGCTGGGCTTTGCCTTCCTACCCCTTCATCCCAACGCTGCATGAGCTGCCTCCGGCCTTGCTCGCCCTGCGCCGGGTGCCCAGCCCTGCTGCCCGCCGGGTCTGGGGACCGCTGCTCTGTTAACTCTTCTTCTGCTTGGTGACTCCTTCTTTCTTCCAGGCAATCCGCCGGGCCAAACTAAAAAAGCGCTGAAGCAGCGATTCCTCAAACTGCTGCCCTGCTGCCGGCCCAAATCCATCCCCTCGCTCAGCGAAAGCAAGTGCTTCTTCTTGCCTTTGTGTGTGTGTGTCCCTGGCGGTGCTGCTGCCTGCCCTCCGCCCTGGCCCTGCCCGCAGGAAGGGGATGCCTCTACCACTCCCCTGCCCTGGGTTTGGGGCTGTCAGGATCAGTCCTGCCCCAGAGAGGTCCGATCCGATGGGCTCTGCACCCACCTCTGTCCTCGCCTGCTTCCAGGCTGGTTTTCCCCCTCTCTAGCTCCCCTGGAGCAGCTCCCACAGGATGCACAGTGGCGAGACCCTCTTTGGAGCTGGCTCGGGGCAGTGGGACCCTCCCGGCACTGGTTTAAGGGCTGGGGGGTTGTTGCTCAAAGCTCAGTGTCGGTTTGGAGACGGAGGTGTGATGGGGGGCATGAAAGGGGCTGAGCAGGGAGTGAGCACAGAGCTGCCCAGAGTCCCCTACCCCCCCTGCACTGGGTGTGCTTAGCCCCTCGGTGAGTCCAAGCCCCTGGCTGGGGTCTCCCCCTGCCCCGCGGTGCGAGCTGATCCCCCCTGGGAGAAGAGGT